ATTCTCCGCTGGTCCATCAGACAGTACAGTTTTACTTTCCTCCGTTCACTAATTACATATTATAATTTCTCAGTGTTATTCTAATCCACTAATTTACGTAGTACCAGTTGATATTGTTTTCGCTTGCTATAAAATAGATTTCTTTTGTAGAGCTTGTTATCAGTGCACCATTTATAATAAATTTTACTCATTTGTTCACTTAACTTCATTCTTATATATATATCTATATATATATTGTGACGTGGTGGATTTCACCCGTCTTGTCCTCGGCGGACAATTGTCTAAAAACCAACCACTTCTACACCACAAACATCTTCAACAATCGTAATCGGCAGAATCAAGGTAAGCACAATTAAATTATTATTGGTGACGGTACTCTTTAATTGTGTTGAATTATCATAAATGTTAGATTTCCTAAGTTCAATTGTTTAGTTGGTGACGGTTTTCATTTGTTTAGAAACTTTCAAATCAATCCTAGTAAATATCTATCATAAATGTTAGATTTCCTAAGTTCAATTGTTTAGTTGGTGACGGTTTTCATTTGTTTAGAAATTTTCAAATCAATCCTAGTAAATATCCAGTTCAATTTATCCTTCCCTTGGTAATTAGAGGCATAGCCCAATCCCGAGTAAAGTGCGCAAGCATTGACTCAAAACAGGGCAAAGTAATAGTATATTACGGTTCGGTAAAGGCACCAGTCTAAGCCTCCATTCTGGTTCGGACGTAACACTTTAGTATCGTTACGAACCAAATTATTTATTCTCACGTTTCTTTCGTATTATCGTATCTATTGAAATATCGTCTAACGTCTCTTTCGCGTCAGCGCGGATATGTCCCGCTGCCGTATCGTATCGCCAACAGGGCCATAGTCCCTCGCTAGTTCCGCGTTTAGTTTAAGAATTTTTGTTTACATACAGGGTGCTTCGTAATTGCCATACACGGTAGGTTAATTCTGGTTCAGGGTGGCCCCCTGAGTAAGAATCCGTAATTCGTTTGGTCGTACGTTCAGTAGTTTTTCTACAAATTGAGTTTTTCTTCGGCCAATCAGAGGACAGCTTTAAGCGAGGTGTCGCGACGCCTTCAACAATGGAAGACTTTACAAGACTTCACTATAGTCGGCTGAGTTCACTTGGTACATGTGGCAACGATAAACAAATTTAAAGATCCATTTGATTGTCTGCCGCACATAGCATTTGTTTCTCGACGGCACCGATGAAGTTATAGCCAGTCAGGGATGCCCACTAGATACTACACCAAGCAAAGTACCAGAGAATGTGATTGGAGTAAAACAAATGCTACCGACGTTCCATGGACGAAACACATAAGCTGGACACCGGATCTTACAATACGTCAGATTGAAAAAAAATAGAGTAGGAGAGAAATGCAAAAACACGTAACGCCTTATTTTGCCCAGAGAATGCAGATTGGTGTGAATATTCTCTGAGCAAAATAAGGCGTTGTAATTTGCTGAATCACTTGCATGTCGCTTTCTTGCTTTCTTTAATATCTTCGGTGCATTAAACTTATCTATCTTTCTCTGGTATTTTTCTTTTATCTATTCTCTATATCGCCTGTCGATTCCTTTTCCCGCCTAGCCTCCTGAACCCCACAATGCTCTCCCAGTGAGATACCCTCTCAACCGGGTACATTTTTTGGAGATCTTGTCCATCACTTGATTCTCTCTCTCTCTCTCTCCCCCCTCTCTCTCTCTCTCTCTCTCCCCTCTCTCTCTCTCTCTCCCTCTTGCTCTCGCTCTCGCTCTCGCTCTCTCTCTCTCGCTTTTGCTTTCTACCTTTCTTATCGTTTTTCTCTTTTCTCATTTCTCTTGACGGTTTCGCCGTTTTCGTGTTTTATTCGCCTTATCTCTGGCAGAGTTGCTATATATGAATCTGTCTCTTTATATTCTTGGTGGAATCGCCGTGTACCTATTTTTCTTTTCCTCCTCTTGGGCGTATCGCCTTACCTGTTTCCTCTTCCTTTCCGTTGCTCCGAGCCTTTCCGCGTCCCCCAAAGACCCCTAAAATCTCGAGTTCCCTGCACTAGCGGTGCTCTCTCCTGAGATCACCTGGGGCCCACCGAATTTCGTTTATCGCGTATCAGGCCTTGGAAATATCGGAATTAGTCGAGAGAGAATCATACGGCGTTTTGTGTACGGTTTTCTGCTTTACAGATCTCGCTTACCGCTTCTCTACTTTCTTATCACGGGTTTCGGATTTTGAATTTTGTGAGGAATAACGTCGCAGTACGCTCCTGCCAGTTACGGTATTTATCGAAACGAGACGCCAAGACTAGAAACCTCATTTGTTAAAACGCTTAGAAAAAAATGGACTGCACTATAAGAATGCTATCTCTCTCGCCTCACAGTTTTACTACTGTGTGCGCGTTCCATGTTGAGTATAGTACCTAGATAAAGTTGGCCGGACAATTTTCAATTATTTACTTTTGATAATAGCAAATCGATTGGTGGCCATTGGTGGCCCACTTAGCACATTTGGTGGTCAACCGTTCTTTTGTAATTAATTAATCAAAAAATACCAGTGAACTTAGCCGAACAATTTATTTTTTCAACGAATTCAGTTTTCAAGAGGCTCAATTGATTGGAAATCGTTTGATGGTCACGAATATCATAATTAAATCATTTTATGGTTTTTTGCCAAACGCTGCAAATAGACTACCAATCATTAGCGCACCTTCCTGCATCGATTAAGACCACTTAGCGCAAAATCGGTTAATAATTATAAGTTTTATCAGCAAAAACGTGTCAATCCTCCTATGTCCCTTTCTTGGCCAATCCCAGCCTATGGTGCCAGTCGTACTTTACCCGTACGATTTTTCATATGGCGTGCGCTAATGCGTCTCATTAAGATTAAGACCTCCTAAAGGGAAATCGGTCCCGAAATATCTGCATTATCAACCATAAGTTTATATCCCAATATGTCAGATTCCTTGTCCGTTTATTTTAGCGTTTTTGGCGAAATTAAGGACCACCAAATGTTTTAATTATGATATTCGTGACCACCAAACGATTTCCAATCGATGGAGCCCCTTGAAAACTGAATTCGTTGAAAAAATAAATTGCTCGACTAACTTCACGGGTAAATTTTGATGAATTAATTACAAAAGAACGGTTGACAACCGAATGTTCTAAGTGGGCCACCAATGACCACCAATCGACCACCAATCGACCACCAATCGATTTGGTATTATCAGAAGTAAAGAAATGAAAATTGTCCGGCTAACTTTATCTAGGTTAATATAGTTCAGTGATGCTTACCTTTTATAATATACCCTATAACATCACATGAGAAGTGTTATTAGTAACTTATGCACGTTGGTTCTATCATAATGTAAGAATACATGGAAAATGATTTTGAAGTGGCAACGTCGCCGAATTTGTCCAAAGTTGATTTAGAAATGTAATTACAATCGGCGTATTCCGATATAAGCTTTCAGTACTGGCAGCACTGTGTCTTCGTTCCGTTACAGGGTTGCAGAGCACTGTAGCAGTGCCTAGTAACTTTGATGACGTCATAGATTTACCCAATTTTTTACTGTGAGCCCCTGACCATACGAGGGTTAGGCGCTCACAGTAATATAGGAAATGACCTCCGCTTCCGGTGAAATTAGCGGGAAAGAATGGGAAAACGAACAGAGGAATATGGATACTAAACAATACTGAAATGGATACAGGGAAAACTGAAATCGTGTTAATTGATGCAGAGACAAATGTATCTTACATCATAAATATATCTTCCGCGTCGATTGAAAAAGCAAAAAATGGTAAGTGAACACATTTTTCAACTGAAATGAAATTACTTGAAGTAAAATTGACGACACTGATAACCTAGGTTATACAATTACTATTTTCAGATTTTTGTCGGAGAAATGTAAGTATAACACTATTTCATAATAATACATTTTAATTCCGTATATCTACTGTACTAGAGTGCTTAATGCTTTCGACGCTGAGTCGAGCCACTGTTATTAACATACTGCATATACTTTCCGTGTTCCGTTATACAATTTGAACAGTGCAACTGATAAAAACAGAACGGTCGCACAGTATACAGTAATGACGTCATTTACAGAGTATTGAAAGCTTATATTGGAACACAGGGAATATATCTATGATTTATTCACTGATCTGCGAGACGGCAATACCGTATATGAAGTCTTGACGGCCATGTTGTGATTCAATGTGATTCAACAGGGCGTTTGAACTGTTATTAGTGCAACACGATTTTTAATATCATTTTTTAACAAATATAAGCATATTATTTACCTAAGACATCAATATTCATAGTTTTTATATTACCACAATTAAGGACAACGAAAAAAAATGGTCCAGTTCCCCATTGAACGAAAAGTCAAAGGGTGCTATGTCATACATAGAAGACAGAACAGGAACGACGGAATTGGAAAAATAGTTTGGTGAGGGGTTGACCAATCATCTTCGTTCCGAAAATGTCAAACGATGCGCGGGTTCCCCATGTACCATATTTTTCAGAAAACGGGCAGAAATTTTAACCTTAAAATTTTGATAAGTTTTACGAATTCCAAATCTTCACATTTCAATCTATGCAATCTTACAGATAATTAATATTTAATGATTTTTCTAACAATATGTGTCCTTATTATTGATTTTAATGAACAAAAATTAATTTTTACACTTTCCGAATTTTCGTTTTTTCTTCTACATGAGGACCCGGGCATCGTTTGACATTTTCGGAATGAAGATGATTGTTCAACCCCCACCAAACAATTTTTCCTATTCCGTCATTCCTGTTCTGTCTTCTATGCATGGAATGGCACCCTAATTTAACAGACCACATCCTGATCATTTTCTATAGCAGTCAATATAAACGGATTAATATTTCACAATTTGTAACTTATTAGAGACCTTAAAAATTGAGTATTTGCAAACATAATACAAAGAAGCAGCCAAATGTTAAATAAGAAACCCAATTATTTTATGTAAATGAAAAGCTTTGAATACTCACCTGTAAATGTGTTAAACCCGTGATATTGTCAGTGATGTACTTCAGCCATTGACTAAGAATAGCGCTGTCATCACAATGTATTACTCCTGTTCGCGCGCCGTTTAAGCCTCGTAGCTCGAAGGCATTACGCCTCAACTTATCAGTACCAAAAATATACCGAGTCACGTATGCCATCATCAATGGTACTGTAATAATAAAATATAAAGTACATTAACCTTTAGACAGTCGGTGTAACATTTTTTTCGAAACCTGTTTTCAATACATTTTTAGTCTAAAAGTCAAATATCGCATTCAATACTGAGACGTTTCGTGATTTTTGAGCGTTAGGAATCACGAGACTTTTTGTGCGGTTTGTGCACTGGGCATTTGTTTGTTTTGATTTCAGTCTGTCGACTGTATTTCGGATTCTAGGAATATTAAAAATAATAATTTCTAATATTATTTCCTCATGACTGTCGCTGTGACTAGTTTCAAGGGAATTACGCAATATTAGAGATTTAAAAGTCCTGTCTTCCCTTTCCTTTATCGGCGTCGCTGTGAGAGGTCGATAGGATTATTGAGAAATTCTAGGATTTGAGGAGTTCTCTCAGGTACTGTTATGCACATCCACAGTGCGTTATGCACTCTTATGTGGGGCTCTTGACGTATCAATCACCCAGAATGGATGATTGGGAAGGAAAAAGGATAGAGGATAGAAGGGTATAAGGGTGGAACGTTACAATACATTACGTTAACTCTTACAGCACTCTACAGTTACATATTAATCCTAGCTCGTCACACCTATTTTTTTACTCTTAGGCCATCGCAAGTAGTATGTCAAACCGATGCTTTTTCTTACTCTATAACTATTAAACAAATGCATGTTTGTAGATTCAATTATAGTGAAATCTAAACACCACTCTGATTAACAAGAATTAACTACAATTCAATAGCAAAAATAATTTTTTCAAAAGTTATAACATTTACCAAAAAACGAGTCATGAAAAACAGGTGAAATTCCAGTGTTTTCTCGGATCCACCGAACCCGGATATGACAAGGTAGGGTCAAGCAGATATCTCTGGCAGAATACAGAAATGCCTACAGTAATAAAAAACCGAACAGCGGACTTCGATAAGTGGGTTATTGGAATCTTTAATGCATCTACACATACGTAATATAGTACCTGTAATCACGTCAATCCATTTCTTATCATGCGTTGATAGCGAGGTCGATGAGGCATTAGAACTATGTCTGCTATGTCCGCATCTAGGACTACCTGATCGTCTACTTGGTGAGACCCATCCATCTTCCATTCCTCCATTAGCAGCATTATCTAGTTTCTCTTCTTTCTCTACATTGAATGCAAATGTTCTCCACAGTCATAAAACATTCTGCATTGAGCTGAATACACCTTATTACGTTGACTGATTAATATATATTTACTCACCACATTTCTGGAGGAATGGTTTGGCAGCTCGGTAATGTTTTACTGTTAAAACAACTAAATCTCCAGCGTTTCGTAGAATATTAACAGCATCATCATGATTGCAAGCTGTTATATATTCTCCATTAACTGTAACACAATTAACCATTAATTTACACATATGTTGCAGTTAAGGGGAAACTGTAGTACCCGACAAACATTTTATCGTGACAATGCCACCTTTTATTGTAGCAAACTGTAAAAACACGTGTGACATAGTTGATAATTTCTTGGTACATTGTCGCACGTCGTAAAACTGCATAAGTATAGAAAGTGTAAATTCTTATTAGCGAACCATTATAATTCAAATATCTTCCACTTGTGCAGCTAGTGCAAGTGAGACGAATAAACTTAATGTAAGGCCGCGCACTTCAGTAATGTTCAATGGCATATGATATGACGGTGACAAAATTTCGTTTCCATTTTTTGCTATGAAATTCAAGGCATAACATTATGGCCTATTGAACGAAACAGCTAGCATAGTGAGGTGGAAATACGGACCTATTATGTATTGTGACGTGGTGGATTTCACCCGTCTTGTCCTCGGCGGAAAATCACGCCGAAACGCGATACGGGCCTCAAAGGCCATTGCAAAGTCCAGGCAGGATCCACCGACCGCAAGGGCCTAATTGAAATTTCGATAGATTATTTTATTATTTTCTTTTGTTTTGCATCTACTCTGCCGGAGTTGGAATAGGTGCTCGCTCTCCGTGCCCGTGAAGACGCGGAGAACGAGAGAGGGAGAGCCAGCTGGAGTCCCAGGAGGAAGGGAGCTGCGACACGCGAGGATCGACACTCGCGCTATCTGCGGACAGCAGCTCTACTGGCCCCGGAGGCGCGCGCAACGCGGGACAGCTTGACGTCACGCGGCAGCAACGCGCTCTACTTCGCTGGTACTCAACCACGACGACTGGAAGCGGCGTACACAGCGCCACCCGACTGAGCACCACCTACCGACCCCTATGGCATAGCGCCCATCGTCAGTTTGCGCATAATTATATTTCCACGAGTTGGAAATCCAGGGACGCCTGGTGCACCCTCGCGCGAGAACGAATGTTACTCTTCGTAGGACCAAGATGTATAAATTGTCCACAAGAGATGATGGAAATTATTAATTGTCGCGATGACATATTCGAAACTGGCGCGTGGCAAAGGCGCTGAGTTGAAGGATTCGTCCGCAGGGCGAATCGCCGCCCATTAGCCTAAAGGGAGGGGGTTCTATCCTTCACGCGAAGACAAAGCGCGTGAAGATGAGAATCTTGCTTGGACACGCGACGGCAATAGACGTTTGATTTGTATTGTGAGTACGCGAGTGCAGTGAGTGCCATTGGGTTGACGCTTTGGTTTTCTGGGATTACGCGACCAGAGGACACCACGGTAAGCGAGTCTAACAGACTTTTGTGAGCGACGTAACTTCGTGCGAATCGTGGTACCGGATTTTGTTGTTTTCGTAAGTTTTGACTGCGCGTGTAACGAACACGCGGAGGGACAATCCCTCACCTCGAATAAGACCACGGCACGAAGGTCCGTCGACCGGCAGGGTTCACGGTTTGGAATTTTGGTTGAGATTAATCATTGAATTAGAATTTTGTACGTTCTCCGAATTGTTTCGTGTCATCCGCCCGTCAGGCACATGTAACTTTTGATTTAGTAACGCGAAGAACGCGTACAGGTCCTTGACGGTCGGTTGTCGTATTTTGGTAAACGCGGATTAGCCGTGTTACGATTTTTGAATTGAATTCATACGGTACGCGAAGTATCCGCTAATATCCTGAGTGTACTTTTGTTTTGTCTTCTTTTGATTTCTTCAAAGTACTATTTCTTTTTTTTTTTTGTAACTCGCCGATTCGGTATTGTACAAAATCGTCGCGCTTCGCGCCGCCGATTTTCTTTAATAAACCGAACCATTTCTTTGAGATCGAAGTGTCCGAATGATTTTGTTTGTCGCGTGATCGTCTGACCCATCCGACATTGTTCCGAATCCCGCCGCCTCCGCATAGCTGAGTTAGCCAATATAGGCACGCGAAGAGGAACCGTAGAGACTGATACGTGGTTCCGTTTTGGAACCTGGCGCCCAACAATACCTTCGGTATTTCGAGAGTGAAATTTGTTAGCCCCTGGGTTGCCTGGAACGCGTAGGAATCGCGTAAGTTATGCGCCGGTCGGTCTTGCATTTTCCGGTGAGGTCGATCGCGTAAAAATACGTCACAGTATAAACGATGCTTTATTAAGTATAGTTTGTGAAGAATAAAAGTGTCTTCCCAGGCTAGTCGTGCCATTTATACCAATAAAATTCAAATCCGTGATAGACCGAAACTTATATTTTTCCTTTTTATTATTTGATTCACCGTAATATATACTGATTGACTTTACTTTCTGGGTAAAGAAGCCACTTAGAGACAGCATTTTTCTCGTTCAGCCCCTGAATAAGTAAGTGACATAAAACATTTGAGAGAGGAAGAAAATCAAGGGAAGATGTTAAATTCTGCTAGCCAAAAAGTCAGTTGGGGATTAGAATTCGTAAAGCCCGGTCATAAGATACAGTAATCGAAATAAAGGGGCCGGAGAAATCGTAATCTCCCTTTATTCCATGTACCGTTTGTCAGCATAGGGTAGGTTTAAGATTCTTAAGCCCGTATTTTTACTCGCTTTTAGTGCTAATAGCGCGCTTTTAAATGATTTGTTAGTGAGTTTAAAGGTGACCGTATTCAAAACCGCTTTTATGGTCACTCTTAAGGTCACTAACAGCTTATAGCGTACTATTAGCGAAAAAGCCTATTCAGAACCGCTTTTGAGCATTTAACAGCGCGCTATTAGGCGCCATCTTGGGACTAACAGCGAGCTATTCGAAGATGTGGGCAGGGGCATGTTTAAAGTGACAGGTCGCTCAAATATGGTGGACCAGATGGAGGCTATTGCCGAGATAGATGAAGTCCGCGAAGTTAATGAAATGAAAGTAAGAAATCCGTAAGTTTTTCGAGAGAGACGTAATCCGTTTCGTACGCGACGTCATCCTTAGGCATTTCGACCGTGTTCAATGCTCAGAGGCTATCATATTTGTGGGGATCTTCATCCTCCACAAAATTTTCCAGGCAAATTTTATTGATTTTGAAATAGAGCCCAGAAGGTTTTGAGAGAGCAGAACCTCCACCTGTACCACTCCCACGCTTGCGATAGCAAGAAATAGTCTTCTTTGCTGTGAGTTTCCACCGCTGCTATGCATCTCTTATATCTTTCCATTCCCTCTTAATTCCAGTCATTGCCATTTTCTCTGTTAGTTTCATTCATTTGTCTCTTCTACTCTTTTGCAATCAAGCATTATTTGCTTTATTCTCTAGTATATCACGATTGTCGCTTACAAATCGTATGACTAATGCTTTTTCTTCGAGGGTGAAATTCTCCTTTCGTTCCATGATGATCTACAACCATTTATTTATTTTTTTCATTTTCATGTCATGCCTGTCTTATAATAGTTTTAACGTATTAATTGAATATTAATAACTTGGCTTCAAGAAAGGAAATTTTTGAATTTCGAATTTCAAATATGGCTGCAGTTTTCACCAAATATGAAGTTCGCGCTTTCCGAATGCCACCGAATACTCCCGGACATAACCGAATATGCCCGAGTCTTCCCGAATGATTCCAAACGCGGTTGAAAGTACATGTGACAAGATGCTGCTCCCCGTTAGCGTACTTTTAGCTAAAAGCGGCTTAAAAGCGAGTTCTGAACACGGTCACTAACGACTCGGCGCAGTCACTTTTAACTAATAGTGACTCTGTTAGTGACCTTAAGAGCGAGTTCTGAATACGGGCTTTAGATTACAAAGTTGAAATAGAGTTAACCAATCAAAAACGAGATTTGACTGGAAATAACTAACTGGATTGGATAACTCTATTTCAAACATGCACGGTGGAAATATATGCATTGCTGAACAATAGGGTTCTTCCGTTAAACTTAAATCGACACAATTCGACAAAAAGCTTGTCTATTCGGCTATACCTGAAAATGGTCAAATTGACCATGATGCAACTTTAAGCCGAGTCGTGTAGACTCAGTTTGGGTAAATGGAAAACTCTATTCTTTCTTTATTAAAACTTGTGAAATATCTTTTCAAATAAGACTCAACCTTGTGACAAAGACTACATTTCCATTGTGTGATTTAGAGGGGATTAACCAATCACGTTCGTGTATTTTTCTAAAATTTCGCACCTGATTGGTTACTTGTTAACGATATTAATCCCATAGTTGAAAACATAGTTAAAGAATCTCTAGGCCTGCAGGCTAACCAGGAGGAATCTACAATATATGTATAAAAAATAATTTTCACCTGATATACATTGTATAAAAAAGCTGTGAACTGAATTCACTTAATTATGTTAAAAGTTTCGGTTTCGATTTTGCGCTGTACCAATTTCAGGTTTCTGTCACGATTTTAGGTATAACATTTATAAAAATTCAGTTAATTGTTACGGTTTCGGTTCCACATTTTTCCGGTTACTATCAGTTATCCATTTCGGTTTCAGTTACGGTTACGATCCCTGCTTACTAAGCGCTTATTCGCGTGATGCACTAATGCAAGTAAAAAATATTTTTTGTAAAGTATGACGATGAACCAATGTACATACATTTACAAATTTTAGATAAAATTCTCATTAAGAGTAAAATATAGTGTGTAACGTAATTCTTTTCCTTGACCCGACACCGATAGCAAAACATACGAGAACGAACTATCTTCGAGAACCAACCTACGTTACCTTCGGCCGTCCACCCGTCGTTCGTGCATCCGCAAGCCAGGCGGGCGCCAGCCAATTCTTTTTTCACCGGGAACTAACGAGCCGGTATAAACTGGGAGTTGGGGTGGAACAGGCCCAACTCCACCAAGAACGAGAGCTCAGACGGAACCTATCAGACGAGGCGATAGCTTAACGGATCCTGTCAATTTTTGGGAACGCGTAAAATCGAGAAACGCAACCGTAGGTGCTGATATTTGGGGTCGCGTAAAATCAGCAAACGCAACTGGATACACGAACGGGAGCGGACGGTTACGGAAATGCACGGCCGCTCAGGCTG